TGTTTCAAGAAAAACATTTTTTAAAACATTCATAAAATGTTTCTAAAATATTTTGAGAAAAACATTGGTAAAAAACATTTTTAAAACATCTTTAAAATGTTTTTGAATAACGTTAAGGAAAAACATTTTTAAAATGACATTGTTTTAAATTTGTTTTTGAATAATGTTTTAGAATAACATTTTAAAAACGTGAGAAAAGCATTTAAGAAAAACATTTTTAAAACGTTTTAAAAATGCTTTTGAGTTATGTTTTCCAAAAAACAAGTACAAAGACCATAAATGCAGGGAAAAATTTAAAAGTGCTTTAAAATTTTTTTGAATAATGTTTTAGAAAACCTTTTTTAAAACATTTTAAAAGTGTTCCAAGAAAAAGGTTTTTCGAGGCACATTTTAAAGACATTTTCAAATAATGTTTTTCTCAAAACATTCAATATTTCATCTTTTATGTGTCATGTCATAATGCACCATCTATACGGACAGTAGTTCCACTTTAAAATACAATAGCATCACATATTAAATGAATATGCAATAATTAATTTTTTTTTTAATTTCCATTTTAGTGCCTGTTCTACAATGAGATACCTTTCATGGAGGATGTGAGGCAGTTTACATTTGGGTCCTTACCCTTAGAACCAGGCAGTGAACTCAACAAAAAGTTTTCTCCCTCAGGTAACAATGTTCAAACTGGGCTAACTTTTTTTTAAAGGCTTCTATGTTTCTCTTAGCAAGATAGGTCAACACTATACTTAAACTAAATAAATCAGCTGGTCTTAATATTGAAGAGTTGACCCCTTTATGTGTAGAAATGGAATAAAAAAGAAGAAAATATTTGGTGAACACAGTAGTACAACAGAAGTATGGAGTGTGTGACTATGTAGGTATTATTAGCATTATTATAATGATAATTATGAATGAATTGTTTTATTCTGGTCTCCAGATGACCAGCTAAGGGCAATGGACAACTTGATTGATTCCATGGATTTATCTAAGACATCACAGTAAGTGGGAAATATTGTTATATGAAATTAAACAGTTTACAAAAATTGAACAACCACTAACAGCTTAGGGACCATTCCCAGACCCTGTCATACTAACTGTGGATCGATCTGTCTCCATGGGGATTCTTGCTAAATTGTAATCGACTTAAGTGGCTTAGATGTCTGTCGCGCCCACTGAAGCTGCTAGGGGGAATTAATTATCATTTAGCAGCTTCAGTAAGCATGCCAGACATCTAAGCTGCTTAAACTGAAACCAATTTAGTGAATAACCTTTTGGAGATGGAGTGATCCTGTTAGATCGATCTAGACATGGGAACCCAGTCTTAGCTGAATGATGATTTTCAAATTTGCCGGGCATTAAATTTTGGTTTTGTTTCTGGTCTGTGGGTGAGCTTTTATTTATTCTTTTCAAAAATAGGATCTGATTTAAAACTGTTTATTTTAGTACTCTGTAGCACTTCATAATATTCACATAATTTACCGGATTTTGGTCTTTATACATGTGCACATACACATTGATGCAAATGGTGTAGACACAGTTCTTTTTGTGTCTATGAATAACCTGACCAATTAAATACCTAGTAAGCAAACTGTTCAGTTACCTATCTTGTCCTGATTGTTATCCTCCAAAATACACCAGGAATGCATCAGATGGTCAACAATAAATGAAGTTTACCTTTGCAATGCATCAGATGGTCAACAATAAATGAAGTTTACCTTTGCAATGTATCTTGATATTGTAATTAAGCCTAAGGTCAATAGCATCTTACATGTACCACATATCTTTATATTTGGACCTTTTTATATCCCATGTCTTACTCTACAGGGGAGATGAGGAGGAGGAAGAAGCTCTGAAACCCAAACTTACTTTCAATCCACATTTACAGAGGTTATATCAGGTTAGTATACACCTATCTTACAGGGGCTGTATATATCAGATTAGTGTAATATAAATTAAAATTTATGTAATGATATTGGTTTTCAAAGGCAATTTGAAATATTCAAGATACCAAAGTACAAAGACGTGATTTGTAGCATGCCAACTATTTATTTTAGTTGTTTTATTATTATTATAAATAAGATGGCACACTGTAGAAAAACAGAGTCCGATTTAAGTCTGTAAAGTGTAAAACTGCTTTCTTTTTCTTTTCTTTACCAGTGTCTACAGCACAAAGCTCTCAACCCAGACGACCCACTGCCGGAGTTGTCCCCCATCATTGCTGACTACCTGAAACCCCCTCAAGAAGTGCTGACCAACTGCCAGACACATGTGGAGAAGTTAAAGGAGGTCTTTCCTCTCAAAGTTGTTGTAAAAAAGAAGGAAGAAGTGTCTGCAAAGTCCATGTTCCAGGACAAGTAAGTTGTGTTTTCTTTTACTTATTGAATATAGTTTTTACTTTTGATGATGATAATTATAGTAATGATAAAATCTTAATTTTCTTCATAAAATGATTAAAATTATTTAAATGCTGACATTTGAATATTAAATGACACTAACAGTAAAAAGAGTACAACATAAAAATATCATATAGCGAAACTTAGCAAATTCCTATCTTTCATTGTAAAATTATTACTAAAGTAATTGTCGCAATGTTTGATTGTATGTGAAGTTTGAATACCTCATAAAAACTGTAGTTTTTACCTGCTGTTTTCTGGCTTTCAGGCTTCAAGTGATATTTAATGATGACTATATATCAAAACTAAATCAAGCAGAACAGGAATTTTTCCTGTCTTTTTTCTACATCTTCCATGATTTGGTGACAAGCTTGAAGGTTTAGTAATGCATTCTACTTTGCTTAAGAATTTTGCATCAAAACCAGCTCAGACATAAATTCAAAATTCTTTCTTCCACTTTCTTTGTCTAGACCCATTGGTGATGTGCCAGCTTCCAAGAAACCAAAACTTGACGATGGTGCATTGGGAGACATGAAACAACTGGACAAGGTCAAGGTCACAAAGGTTGGCACGGTAACACCAGTGGAGGATTACTGGGCCATGTTGCGTCGAAAAGATGAGGACATGTTTGAAGAGGGTGTGTGTCTTCTTTTATGCAGGTTCTTTTTATCAGTATTTTTATCAGTTCTTTTTTCTGTGTATATATACTATAATATAATATAATGGTAAATGATCTGATATTTACTCACTCTTATATTTCAACTGCACATCTGAATGACTTTCTTTTTGATTGACAAAAAGTTAATGAATTATGAATGTTCAGTAAAAGAAATTCTACAACATGTTGTGCCTTATACTGATTGTACTTTGGAGAATTTTTGTAACAATAGAAAATAAATTAATTAATAATATCATATTCATATCATCTATGATCCATTACGTCAATAAGTTTTGTTTTTTTTTAAATGAGAGATGCAAATTCTTCAAAAGAGTTGTATAAAACTTCATTTTTATATTATACTATATTTTCAGCCTGTAAACAGCTGGAGACTGTAATAATAGACATCATTATGGGGTCATTTGGTGCCCAGTCTTACCCAAAGGCAATGGAGTGTATGAAGGCACTAAGAGAAGCTGCCTTAAAGGTAAGTAATAATCTGATTGAAAAAAAATAGGAGAATATTGAAGTGCATTCCAGTATTAGAAGCTACAGAAAATACCAAAGTAACATGTAGTTGCAAACTTTCAATTTCTGAGAATTTTCTGATGATTTCCTTTTCTTTAATACCAGGACTTAACAGTGTTCTTGGCAGATGGAGATATCAAAATATATAATGTCTGCGTACCTCTGCCCTCTACCAGTACAAACACTAAGAGTTTAAAAATTGAAAAAAAATATATATTCTAATACAAGGAAAAAAGAGGCAAAATTTTGTTATTTTCATCAGATAATCATTCTGACAATGATTGCCTGCTAGCATTATTATTATATTGTAAATCTGTCCAGCTCTTAGATGTTAAACAGGTGCAAAGAAACCATATGGTCAGATAAATAGTGAAGACTGACATTAAACTTGTCATTGGCTAATCCCTGAAGTTTGTTCGAGTTTCCATTTGAACCAATCATCTGCTTTGTAGCTTGCCACCATTTTCTTCAATCACCAGATTTTAACCAGTTCCACTTTGCTTTTGTAGTGCTTTCTTTTTAGGTTTCTTGACATTCTGTTTTCTTTGTTTCGGTACATTTTGTATTGTTCATGGTCACTGGATGGCAAGGCTTTGGACTTTATTCTGATGGTATTTTGGAAGTCGTCATTAACCCATGGAGTGTCTGGTGACTTTGCAGAGATGGAGATGAGTGTCAATGAGTGTTGTGTCCTGTCTGGTGAAAACTGTTCCTGACATGTCTTCCTTTGATAGAGTTCTCTCTACGAGATATTCTCAATGTCAGGCATCAAGAAGGCCAATGCATTTTGGCTCTTTTACAGAATGAAGGTTGTAACTTTGTGCCCTGTGGAAAAGGAGCTATCTGGCCCAGGAGAGCATATGACTGTGTTCTGATCTAACCTGCCAATAGACCCAAGACAGTGGGGTTTTCGTTGTACAGTTCTTGCATATTTATAAAACATTTTGTCTAAATTCCATTTGCCTTTTGTTGGGCATTTAACAATTTGCCTTAATGGGTAATTTTTGATCCTATTTTTCTTCTGGGACAATTTTTTCAGTGCAGCAGCAGCTTCCTGCAGCTTAGACCCCATTCTCAGAGATTAGATCGATCCAAACTAGATTGACCTAACTCCCTGGGGGTTCACGCTAAATAGCTGTCAGCCGAACGGGCACGGAAGTTAATTACCCCTTTATAGCTTGTAGTAGGCGGGACGGACATTTAAGCCAGATTATCTGACAGTAATCTAGTGAGACTCCCCATGGGGATAGATCGATTTAAAATGTATAGGAATACGCCCTTAGACACACACCCTTTTACACAATATGTTAGCTATTCCAAGTATGACCAATGATTGTGCACAATGTCGGGTATGTCTAACTTCTCTATCAGGTCTTTCCATTCTTCAGGATTGTTCCAAGTTCCCCAATCACAATCAGTATCACTGACACTTCTGATGCTCTGTGAATTCTCTTAATTTCAAATGCAAGGTCCTGAAATCTGTCCACTTTCTCTTCCTCACTCTTCATGATTTTTGGGTCTGCTGGTGTTGCTATATCAATGTATGTCTGTTTCTGTGTATCTTTCTGCACTAGAGTCATGTCCAGTTGATTGTGACTCAGTTTCTCATCTGTGTAAACAGTCATGTCCCAGGTAATTCAAACGTCTCCATTCTCCACAACTGCAAGTGGCTGATTATTATGACTTATTATATATTAACCTGCCGTAGGTCGGCTCCATTAAATTCCAAACTCACAGAAGACCAAACAATGCATATAAATCAGCAACAGATTTTATTTACAACAATGAAACAAAATAAGAATAAACAATTCATACAATGTAGACATCTGCCTTTAACAGAATCACAAATATATATGTAAGTCTTTATAAAGCAAAAATTTTAGTTTGTCATAAAGAGGACAAATCAAACATAATTTAGATCAAATTAAATCTGTCACATTATTTTTATTATTATTATTATTATTATTATTATTATTATTATTATTATTTACTTTTTAGCACCTGGAGCCTGGGGTATTTAACAAATTTTTCACCCAGTTTAAGAAGGAGATGGAGCACTACAATAAAATGGTTCTCTTCGAGATGGCAAAGAACTGTAAGTTTAAAATAATAATATAAATAAGCACTCATCTGTACTTGAAATATGTTCATGTTCAGTGACCTACTTCCAGAAAGAATAATTTCTTGAATAAGAAAATGAATGAGTACCCAAATGAATGAGTAAGCAAATGAATGAATGTAGCAATACAAAAAAAGAAAAAAATGATATATTAATGAATAAATTAATATGTAATATTCATGTAGAACAATAATAATTAAAACATTATTTGATGATAAAATCAGTAAAAATAATAATTATTTTTTTACTTAAAAGAAATAAGTGACTGCTTCTTCCACTCTCCCAAAACAGTATGTTTATAACTTTTTTTATGTACAGACACAGATGTGTCTGTACATATTGCCATCACCTGCGTCTGTCGTCGCCGTCGCCGTCCCTGTCGCCGTCGATGTCGCCGTCGCCGTCGCCGTCGCCGTGCACTTTCATCATTAACACAATAAGTGGAAGACAGTTTAACTTTTTGGCTTTATATT